GCTCTGTATGTAAAAGACAAGCATTGCATCATATTTTAGAGGGATGCTTTGCACAAAGTATCTCAACAGGAAGTAGTGGGAATCTGAACACATTTGCATGTTCCCATTCATGACATAGTGTTGGCATTCTCAAGAGTAACAGTAGCTGATGGCAATTTTTATCTGAAGAGATTTGTGCATGTTAGCAATATACAGTCTTCTGTCAACTTAAGTAGAGCATATGGGGCCCATTAACTCACCAAATCTGCCACTGTTCTGCAAATTTTTATTAAGCAAGTGCAGTCCCTAATAGTCACTTATGTTATAGAATGTGTATCAAATGCTATCAATAAGCAAGAGAATTGTTTTCCCCCAGTGAGAATGCATTTGAAGTGTATGAGAAGGCTTGACAAAAGAATAAAATATTTTAAGTGATCACTATACTAGTATAAATGTATCCTATTGGGAATCCAATGTATGTATTATAAGCACTTTAATGTTTGCTGCTAATAAGCTCTCAGAGTGCCATCTTTTTCACAGATTTTTCTCCCCATATTTTCTTGGTTTATTGTTTCTCTCAACTAACAATGATCCTGGTTGAGATTAAATCATAAGACACTGTGTTTATCCACAGTTTTAAAAAAGGTGACATAAGTGTTGAGCAGTTCTAATTAGCTTCAAAGGGCTACAGCAAAGACAGCTAGAAACAGAGGCCATCAGGCTGCTGTTTCCCAAGCAAGTCTTCCTGAACCAGAGGATGCATCAGGGAATTAACAAACATCCAAACCAAAGAGCGTCCTCCTTATGAAGCACTTTACAAGAATTAAATCACTGTCCATCAATCTTGAGTTGAAGGCCAAGAAGCATGAGCTTAGTATAGAAATCCCATTATCTAAATAAATTCAGAGATAAGAAGAGTAAGTCCACAGTGCTCTCTAAGTATTTAATAACAGTTACAATAAAAATGTCCATGAATTTCATCTTCAGAAGGTTTCAACATTTCACTGATAATGCTTTGATTACTGTAATATCCCTTTAAGTAATCAAGAACAAGTAGTACCCGTCCTTGGGTAAAACTGAAGGATAAGAAAGGGAATATAATAGGCTCTGGAAACTTAAAAAAAAGAACGAACGAACAAAAGAAAAAGGAATCCGTCATCAGAACCAGAACAAGAAACTTTGACTTTTGATCCATCAACACTCTCTGACTAGATGCTTTTGGTGCCTCACCATTTTAGAATGGAAGACCTTAACAACACCCAGCTCACTCATTTTTCAATCTCTTGTAAATAAGGTTTTAGTTTGAAATGACACAACTGTCATATTCCTACTGCTACTATTCCAGTCGCTGTGCTATCCAAATATTATGCAGTGAAATGAGTAGACTTAAGCTCCAGCCCCAAGAGATAACCTTAGAGTAGCTCAAAGGTAATCTGAGTTATAAAGGAAGTTGAGTATTAATTATAACACTTGTCATTTTTTAAAAAGTGGTGGTAGTGTGTGTAATTTTACCTCATTTTCTCATTTGCTACTCTTATTTAAATCAGTTCCCAGCACTAAGCATGTGCATAAAAGATGATTGTTCCCAGTTTAACCTTTTAAATAAAGTGTATTCTATTAATTAAGTCATTACAGTCCCCTCTCTTTTCCATTATGTTTATTCATTTATCTTCTAAAGATAGACATCTGTGTCACTGAATATTTTGGAGAAAGACCCCTAATTTTTATGCCTATCACCCATTTGGATTTTTTATACTGTTTTTTGAAATAGTGCTCTAAAGAATTTCAAATTGTCAATTAAAATAATGGTAAGTATTCCCACTAAGAATAATAGAGAGTGTGCAGTCAAAAAGTTAAGGAAGTACCATGTTTAACCTAATATGGTTGAGGAGTTGGCAGTACTTAAATTGGCTTAGATTTAATGGGATAACTTATGTCCGTCACAGAAAAAAGACAAATGCAAAATAACAAAATATTTGTATGAATCCCTTTTTCAGAATAACCACATAATAAGACCATACAGTCTGAATGCTGTATTTCCTTTGCTTTTCTTCCACTACAAAATGAACTAGGAGACAGGTAAACTGAGAGGTAAAACCTGCTGTGGGTGTAGGATTATCCATGTGATAACAATTCAAAGTACCTGTCTGAAGGCATTGTATTCTCTCAAGTGTTTTCTCCCTCTGTTCCTTTATAATTCCAGGAAGTGAAATAAACACCACCACCATCATCAAATGCACAACCTTTACCATTCTCACAGTTTTCATTTTTCAGAAGTTTTCATTTATTGAGAACTATGTACCTGGCACTCCTTGTGGGGTGTTTTTATCTAAATTTTTCACACAAGAAAACTAAGGTTGAAAACAACTTAGTAACTTGCCTGGTAAAGCTGACGTTCAACTCATATCTATCTCATTATTAACTATCATGTTATTCTGCCTTTCTATTTAGGTTCCTATTAATAATGATGATTGTAGTCTGTATTTATTAAGCACTTACTATATGATCTTATAAGTACTGTGCATAAATTTACACATGTAATCTTCACTACAAGCCTATGGAGGAAGCAATATTATCCTCATTGTATATATGATGAGATTGAGGCTCAGGGAGTTCAAATAAATTGCATATGTCTAGTAAGTTTTCAAGTCAGGATTTGAACTCAAATGATTTCTCATTTGTGAAATGGGGATGAATATTTTAGCTTAAACTCATTAGAATGCTAAATTTCCAAACATGTTAAACAAAATTATAGCTAACACTTGTTGATATTTATCACCACAGAAAGACTTCTATTAATAACATATTCAAATAAAAAGGATAATAGTTTTCTAACATATAAGTATTTGTCAAGTGTTTTCTTCTATTCATGCAACTGATGATTCAAAGAATATAACAAATTCTTCTATGACTTATCACAACTATAGTAGAGTGGTTAAGACTGCAAGGTTTAAGTCTGGATCCTCCACGTTGGAGGTATGCTTCAGTTTCTTTATCTGTATAGTAAAGATAATAATAATAATACCTATTTTTATAGGTCATCGTGAGGATTAAGTGAATTATTAGCTATAAAGTACATAGGACAGAACCTACACAATACAAGTTTTAGCCACTAGTGTTATTATTTTTAAATCATCATCATTGTTTTCCAGTACTTTTCTATTTATACTGTAGATTCTACTGTAAATTTTTTTAGACCTGAAAAAGCCAGAATTTGGCCCACAATTGGAGCCTGATGAGTATGGACTGACATATCCAACTAGAAATATGAAGAAAATTCTGATAGGATTTTTAAGAAGTTAATAAAATACTAGAAGAATCACAGACAAGTAGTGTTGTTGTCTAGAAAATAAAGAAATAGCTTAGAAAAGGAGGTATAGTGGGAGTGGAGAGATCTGTATATAATAACTGGGTTGGTGAAATATGACTGAATGCTGTAGGCAAAGGAAGGAGGGGCATACTCCTCTGAGCCCTCTAGTGTTAGGAAAAATGGAAGAGGTCTTCTTTGTCAGCAAAATTCACTTCACATTGCTCAATTCTTGAGCACCAGATTTTTATAGACTAACATAGCCAATGGCACATAGCAAATAATGAACAGCTATTGTTGGATATTAAAGTGATAATCCATGCAGACAGCTTAAGGATTAAGAACGTCTCATCTATGTTTTTGAGAGATATTGGGTAATAGCTTTCATGTAATGTCATTGCCTAGTATTGGTATCAGCATCATACCAGCCTCATAGAACAAGTTGGGAAATACTCCCTTCTCTGAATTTACTGAAAGAATTTCTGAGAATTGGTGTGATTTCTTCCTTAAATGTGTGGTAGAATTCACCAGTGAAGCCATCTGGGTCTAGAGTTTTTTTGTGTGTGGGAAAGTTTTAACTACAAATGCATTAAAAACAGCAACAACAACAAAAACTATAGGGTCATTCCAATTATCTGTTTCTTCCTACATAAGTTTTGGTAACTTGTGTCTTTCAAAAATTTATTTCATCAGAGCCGTGTTAATCTAGGGTTAATTTTTTTTTTCACTACTGAAGCATGGTTCTTCATCTTCTTCTTCATGGTCCTGAATTATGAATCTTTACTCTGGCTATTAGGACTAGGCACTATTCTCAGCCCTGTGTGAACTTCAGACACTCTTCCCATTATATTTTTGGGTGGTTCTTTCCCAGGTCTTGGGTAGTTTCCTCACATGTGTGTGATCATCAGTATATTCAACTGAATACATAAGGAGATCCTCGGCAGATCTCAGCAAGAGTTCTGGATTAAGTCTTTCCTCTCTGGTTCTCTGCCTACAAATGTCATCTGCCTTGGCTTCCCTGGACATCTAGGTCCATGTGCTCAGGCTGGGATGTCACCAGGCTCTGCTCTGTTTCCGTCCCTATACCACAATCTGGAAACTTTCTCCAGACAATAAGCTAGAGCAGTTATAGGATTCAACTCACTTGCTTTCCGTCTCTGCTGCCTAATGTCTAATCCCTTGATTGCCACTGTTTCATGTTTTATGTATTTAATTTTTTTTCAAGAGAGATTGTAAATCTGTTCCCTTTTACTCCAGATATAGAAGTCCAGTCCTTGAGTATATATATATAGCTATTACACTCATAAAGTTTCATTATATATTATACATTTCTGGGCCCATGAGTTTAATTTCTCCTTTTGTAAGCATGAAAACAATAGCCCAATTAACAGAGCTGAAAGTACTGAAAATCAAAAGAAAATAAAATTATATTCATAGACGATCTAATGTGTGTATGTATATACAAGAAATATATACATATATATATGTGTGTATATATATATATATACACACATATATATATGTATATATACATAGCTGCCTTTAAAATACCTACCAAAGGAAATGAGGCACCCCAGGTAGGCCAGGGAACATTTTTTTCTCAATTTTTTTCCAGTAAAAGATTTAACTTCTTATGAATCTGTTTCAATTTATTGTTCAAAGAATGGCTGATTTACAAGCAGGCCTGATCCTTGTCTCTTTTATTTCTTCTCAGTGCCAGATGAAAGCAAAGTCCACTCATTGGCTGCTCACAAATCGGGTAAGAAACTCCTTGTAACTGACTTTATATTCTCCTTCCTGGAAATTGCTGGCTGTGTTTGAGTAGCAGTTGGAACCTATTTCCATCCACTAGTCACTGAAAGGCTTGCTAATTAATACATGAGATGTCTCTGACTTCCACAAAGATGAATTATTGCTTGGCTGTGTGTGTGGTGGCATAATGTATGCTGACTCAAAATGTTTGAGAGGAAAGGATAAAGGTTTCCAAAAAGTAATAATTATGAAACCAAAAATCTTAAACCTGTTTGCCAGCTGAACACTTAAAACAACAAAAAAAATTATAAGGAAAATCCAGGGCGCCTGGGTGGCTCAGTTGGTTAAGCGACTGCCTTCGGCTCAGGTCATGATCCTGGAGTCCCGGGATCGAGTCCCGTATCGGGCTCCCTGCTCGGCGGGGAGTCTGCTTCTCCCTCTGACCCTCCTCCCTCTCATGCTCTCTGTATCTCATTCTCTCTGTCTC